ACAAAATCTTTGGCAACTGCCTTCTACATTGCCCATGATTAATATACTTGAATTTGTAAATAGCTTAGGTACAAAAGCACATATATATAGACATATTCTTTAGAAAAGTAGTCAATATAGTGAAAGATCAATATTAACAAGATATTTATACCTATTTACTCAATGTGTAAAGCACATCTTATTAAAGACAGAAATAAATTTTATTTGATAATGCTCCTAATTTAAAAGTGCTAAGATGCCACACTTGTTAAGCTTTAAGTCGACAGACACGCCATTAAGTCACAGAGTCTAAGACATCATAACAAAGAAGCATTAGCATGCATTACCATAAGTCAATTAAGATAGACACAAGCAAAACTCACAGGCTAAATTTTGTAGAGAAAAATACAAAGGGACATTATAGACATATTCTTTAGAGAAGTAGTCCAATATAGTGAAAGAAAAATATTAACACAGATATATATCCAAATACTCAATGTGTAAATCACACCTTATTAAACAGAAATAAATTTTATTTAATAATGCTCCTTATTTCAAATTCAAAAGTGCTAAGGGCCACACTTGCGGGCTAAGCGCGCTTTGAGTCAACGGATACAAGATGAAGTCACAGAGTCTAAGACATGAACGGCAAAAACAAACAACTTTTAGACTTTCACACTGCACACTTTAGAAAACAATAAGTACCAATTTAACTGCTCACGCTTTATTAAGTCTAAGAAGTATGTAGTACTCACAATTTCATGCTCACAACTTTATCTTTTCATCCATAAGTTGGGAAGTCTTTCATATGCCTTTAACTTCTAGCACCATCCACATTCTAGCTCTAATACCCAAAACAGATCTCAGATTTACAATCAAAAGTGTGGACTTCAACAATATAATAGTTTCAGCATATTATGTCGAACTTAGAAGTATCTTACAGTGATTATAAAAACGCGAACATTTTCATAAACTAGAGATTTACCGGGTCATTAACTTCAGTTTTTATAATTTAGAAGAAAGTAATTCAGAAACCAGGAATACAGAAAAAAATCAGAATAAAATCCTTCTCAATATGGATGTCTATCTTAATTCTATATAGCTACCTACATACTACATACATTCTTGATTCTTCTACACTTTTTTGGATTTATTTCCATTTTAGAAACTTTCTTTGTACCTTATTCGTTTTATGCATGTATTAGTTAAATTTGCTTCTTAAAAAAAGAGCTGTGATTCTTTTTTGGTTCTACTTTGCATAAATTGTACACCTGCAATTTCTTGACTTTTAGCAAGTTCATTTAATATAAAGAAAGATTTTCAGTACTCTGCTTCATTCTCAATCATGAATTTTTAGTTAGTGATAAATGATTTGTCATCACACCTAAGAACATCAGAAAATCTGTTATGTTCTGTGACATCCATCTTTTAATATAAACCTCTTACACCTTAGGTGTATATTATAATTAATACATGAGGGCTAGTACAAGTACGACTGCTCATTAAACTAAGCAGAGCGATGAAGTGCACCAAACCCAAACATGTGTACATGGAAAAGAGTCAGAAACTACCTATGTGAATGTATGCTTTCAGAAACAGGGAAATGATTGAGGAAGGGGAGTTTCCATTTTTGCACTACTTACACAATATGTCAACTTTACGAAAATGGATTGCATACTAACCATGTTCTACATTAGACACTTCCACCGATTTGTGCAGATTAATTTTTTCTTTAAGAACGAATTGCTTAAGAAAAATAAAAGCACTACAGTTCCTATTCTTAATTCTATTTGAGAGTTCCATATCTATATTTTAGATATATAATTTTCGAAATATCGAGCAAATCATAGTAGAAATTTTACAAGTGCGGACTTCGGGATGTCAAAACTTAAAAAGCATAACTAATTAAGTATAAATTGAACAAAAATGTAATTTGAGTTTACCTTAGCAGATTGAAATCAAAAAACAAAACTTCAGATTTGTAAATCAAAGAACAAAACCGCAGATTTGAAATCCTCGAACAAAACCCTAGCTGGCTAGCTCAGCCTTTGGCTCTGGATGACTGATGCAAAATCGATGGCCTCGAGAGATTGTGAGAACTGGCTGCAGTGGAGTTATCAACGACGCTTGGTGGTGGCACTGGATGCGTGAGACCGTATGGTTGCGAGGTGTGAGATGGCAGGGTTAGAAGGTGCTCGAAAGAAACGGGGATTTGGGCATATAATAGTGGTAGGGAGAGAAAGATGGTAAAGGAATTTTAGAGGTTAATATGTTGCGGTTCTGCCAACAATCGCAGCAACTAGTGGAGAAATTCGAAGTTATTGCTGCGGTTCTCCCTTGCCCGCATCATAAAAGTCAAAACAAAATCTAAAATTCGAAAATATTATAGTATTTGCTGCGGTTCTAATACGACCGCAGCAAAAAGTATCAAATTTCTCAACTTTTTGCTACGGTTGTAGTAGAACCGCAGCAAATACCTATAAATTTGGCCTATTTGCTGCGCTTTAACTAAGAACCGCAGCAAATGGGTAGCAGCAAATAAGGAAAATTCTAGTAGTGATAAAAAGGGTCAAATAAGTTCTTATTGTCCGTCCGTCGCCATTTGAGACAGTTCCCGGTGAAATTTTTTGATGAAATTTTTTGAGCATCTTATTCATTAAGTCTACTTTACTCATACCAAATTTGAGCTAAAACTTCAATCGGGAAGGCATTCAAATGAATTTTTGAAGATAACTGCGTTTTTAACTGCGCAGTTATCTTCAAGAATTCATTTGTATGCCTTCCCGGTTGAATGTTTAGCTGAAATTCGGTACGAGTAAACTAGACTTAATGAATAAGATGCTCAAAAAATTTCATCAAAATAATCCATCGGAAACCGCAACAAATGGCGATGGCTGGACAGAGCCTCCTATATAAGGACTTATTTGACCCCCTTTTTTACAACTTCAAGTACCAATCTGACCCTTACCTCAAAAAATAACAATATATATATATATATATATATATATATATATATATATATATATATATATATATATATATAAACACATTTAGCTTTAGCTATTTTAGGGATGCATGAATACATACTTGGGCTATAAAAGAGATCTATTCATATGGAAAAAATATAAATAATTCAAATGCATTATTTTTGAATGTTTCGGTTCAGTATTTTTCGGTTCTCAAAATCTAGGACCGGTCTCGTACCCGTTTCAAACGGTACGGTTTCGATACGAGACAAAAATCTATAGAACCGTCTAAATACCCGATATTCGGTTCAGTACCAAAACGGGACGGTTCGGTACCGGTTCAGTTCGGGTTTTATGCCCACCCCTACACACAATGGACGCTTCACTCCAGAGTCTAGACTCACCAAATATTTGCTTGGAGCCACTGGATAGAATCAGAAGCCTCAGCCGTAGTCGCATTTCGACCTTCTTAGACGCAAATCGGCAAACTCCAAGGACTCAACACAACCAGGCATTCAGTTTGGATCGTTCCTTCACCGCACTGTCTCCTCTGCTACTTCGCATACTCAATCTACTCAATTTTGAGGTATTCAGTTAAAAATCATATAGCAATTGATGTCTTATGCCTGAACTGTGAAATTCAATATTTCCGATGACATATTGACATGTTAACGAGACAATGACATAAAAAAATGTACAGTGACATCATCTTTGTTAAAATATATGACCTTGCTAGTCACATTTTTGTCGATATTTAAAAGTATTCACAATTTTGGAATTTGACTCCAATTTAGTGATATCTATGGACAAACCCCTTATTTTAATCTCATAATACGTTAATGACTTATAATATTTTATTGGGATAAGAGTCAGATATGGTCTCGAACTTACAAAAAAATGTCAAATAAGGCCTTATATAAGATGTTCTGTTCGGCCGACGCCATTTAGGACGGTTCCCGATGGAATTTTTTGATGATTTTTTTAGCATCTTATTCATTTAGTCTAGTTTAGTCATACCAAATTTGAACTAAAAATTCAATCGGGAAGACATTCAAATAAATTCGTGAAGGTAACTGTCCTTTTAACTGCGCAGTTATTTTCAAGAATTCATTTGAATGTCTTCCCGATTGCATTTTTTATTCAAATTTGATATAAGTGAACTAGACTTAATGAATAAGATGCTCAAAAAATTTCATCGAACAATTTCACCGGGACCCACCCCATATGGCCTCGGCCGTACATAGCATCCTATATATGGCCTTATTTGACATTTTTTTGTAAGTTCGAGGCCCTATCTGACCTTCCCTATTTCACCGCACTGTCTCCTCTGCTACTTCGCATACTCAATCTACTCAATTTTGAGGTATTTAGTTAAAAATCATATAGCAATCGATGACTTATGCCTGAATTGTGAAATTCAATATTTTTGACGACATATTGACATGGGCGGAGCTAGGGGTGGGCCAACCTAGGCCCTGACCCACCCCAAAATTTAAAAATACCTTAATTTTTAGTGTAAAAATTTCTGGTCTATTTTTTTTTCAAAAATATTCTTTGTGCCGGCCCAGTGCGGGCCCAGTGCTCTGGCTCCGCCTGTACATATTGACATGTTAACGAGACAATGACATAAAAAATGTACAGTGACATCATCTTTGTTCAAAGGAAAAGGGGGCAAATAAGCCCACGTACTAACCAAAAAGGTCAAATAAACCCTTATAGAGGAGGATCTGTCCGGCCGTCGCCATTTGGGGCAGTTCCCGGAGTAATTTTTTCATGAACTTTTTTGACCATCTTATTCATAAAGTCTAGTTTACTCATACCAAATTTCAACTAACAATTCAATCGGGAAGACATTCAAATGAATTCTTGAAGATAACTGCGTCTTTTAATCAATAGTAGAGATTATTTTGAAATAATTTATACTTTGAATTATCTCAAACATATCACTAATAGTTGAGATTGTTGTTTCTAAAAAAATTACCTCGAGTAATGTCAATTCTTTCAAAATGATAATCATTTCTACAAAGGAAAAAGGAACAAAAAAATTATGAGATTGGAACAAAAAAAACTCCCAAGGTTGGAACTTGGAAGTGGGTCTAAAACGAGCACGGATCCTCTCCAGTAACTGGATGCTTCCATTGGAGAGAGACAGAGAGGAGGGAAATTATCCATACCGTTTCCTCACTACAACTAGCATCCACTCCGTTAGCCTAAAGAAAGCCTCGTTTACGCCTTGACGGAGGGGAGAAAAAATTTGGCTTGAACCCCAGGATGAAAGAAACGAAGAACACAAGGAGGCTACTTCAATTACTCAGCCAGAGCAACGAATTGGAGGTAAGTATTAGGGTATCTTTTGAACAATGGTTTTGAATTTCGTGATTGAGTTTGTCTAAAATTGAGATTTCTCGTTTATCCCTACCAAAAGATAATGATGCTGGTATGTGTTTAACTGTGATGTACTAATGTACCCGGCCATTTGTCTTTTCGATGGGTGTAGTTGGTTTGTGTTGCCAGATTACCCGCAAAGACCTGTTTTTTTTTTTTTTTTTGTTTAAATTTCGGGCCAGTAAACAAAACATCCAACAGCCAAAAGATACTGGCAATTAGATACCAAGGGCAATACACACGTTGTAACTTCTCAGATCTGCACCACACTTTTTCAGAGATATGTGAGTTGGAACGAATATGGTCATCCAAACATGGGAAAACAAAAAACACGTATATAGGCCGTATTTGTGTGTGTATTGTAGATTATGATGATATATTAAAGATGACTAAATGTTTGTTAGTATATGACTTCTCCCTCATGTATAGCCAGTATACTTGATTAATTATTTTGAATTGATTTGTTCTAATATTTTGATTTATTTAGGACTGAGCTGAATACTAGAGTTATTATCGATTGTCAAAATTATATTGATGGTGAAGCAGGGGACCTTGATTCTACAGAGTGGTCAGAAATTTTCCTTCCAAATTTAGGCACCACAGAGTGGCCAGAAAATTTTCACCATTGTTGAGACCAGCAAGTGAGATAACTGGATTTGGGTTATTTGTTGATATTCTTTATGGAAGACAAACTCTTAATGTAAGAATATTTGAAATTGTTTACTAACGTCTGTTTATGAGATATTGAATTTATTTCTTATGCAGTTATGCACACGTTATGTATATTGAACTTGGCTATTACAGTATATTTTTTCTTCATTTGTGCAGCCTAGTATGTAAAGTGAAACTGTGATATCAGTGGGTTCTTCTGTACAACAGGAAACGATTTTTTATGATCATAATATGGTCTCAAGGCTTCCGATCCTTAATGAAGAAGCTACAAAGAAGAAAAATGCCAAATGGTCAAAGTGGCTGACGGAATCTGTTAGTTTGTAGTGAGGAAACGTTAAAGAAGGGTAGTTTTAGACCCACTTTCAAGTTTCAAGTTTAGGAGTTTTTGTTCCAAAAAAACAAAAATAGAATAGGGGTATATATGTTCTCACAAAAATAGTATAGGGGTATATTTGTGCCTTTTCCCTTTCTCCAAACATCAAAGAAATGCACTCAGCAACGGCCTTCTCCTTGCTCTCCTTCATTCGGAAGCATGAGTGCAACCGCCCAGCTATCCAACAACTGCATTCTCATTTAATTTTTGCGTCCGCTTGCGTTGTTTCTGCCTCCACTCCGATCATCTTCACTCTCTGGAACTCTATTCTCCGGCACTATTCCCTCGGACCCTTCCCACAAGAAGCTTTCTTCCTATTCAAGCACTTACAACACAAACTGCCACATGGGTTCTTTTTTGACAGCTTCTCTTATTCTTTTCTCGTTAAAGCTGCCTCTAATCTATCCCGACCATGTATCGGGAAACAAGTGCACTGCCTCACCTTTAAATCCGGATTTCAGGCTCATGTTTATGTGCAAACCGCCTTGGTGGATATGTATGCTCACTGTCGATGTCTGGTGGAATCACATAATGTGTTTGAAGAAATGCCTGTGAGGAACAGTGTGACCTGGAATGCCTTTATGACTGGGCTGAGCAAGTGGGGTGAGCTTAGGTTAGCCCGGGCTGTTTTTAATAGGATGCCGGAGAAGAATCTGGTTACTTGGACGGGTATGATTGATGGGTACACACGAACAGGTAAGTTTATTGAAGCGTTGTTGTTGTTCCGCGAAATGGTTGTGTCTGAGGGGATTAAACCAAGCGAAGTGACTCTTTTAACAATTTTCCCTGCTATTTGGAATGTTGGGTATCTTGAATCTTGCCAAATGCTTCATGCTTATGGGGAAAAAAGTGGGATCAACTCTTTTGATATCCGCGTTATGAATTCACTTGTAGATGCATATTCCAAGTGTGGGAGCATACAGTGTGCCTCAAAAGTTTTTGATGACATAGCAGATGATAGTAGGAATCTAGTGTCATGGACATCAATTATATCAGGATATGCGATGTCTGGCATGGCCAAAGAAGCTTCAGATTGTTTTATAATGATGCAGAGTGCACATATACAACCAAATCAGGTTACACTTTTGAGTGTTCTACATGCCTGTAGTCATGGTGGTTTGGTGGATGTAGGAGTTGAATTTTTCAGAAAGATGGTAAATGACTTTGGTCTTCAACCCAATATTAAACATTATGGAAGCTTGATAGACATGCTGGGGAGAGCAGGGAGATTAGAAGAAGCTGAAAGGGTAGCTTTAGAGGTACCCAATGGGATCTCTAATGCTGTGATGTGGAGAACACTTTTGGGCGCTTGTAGTTTTTATGGAAATGCTGAATTAGGGCAGAGAGTTATGCTAAAGGTTTTGGAGTTGGAAAAAACATATGGTGGTGATTATGTACTGCTCTCTAATATTTTTTCCAACAGTGGTAGGTATATAGATTCTGAGGGGGTGAGGAGATTAATGAATGAAGAAAATGCCCAGAAGGTTCCTGGCCTTAGTTTTGGCTAACAAGAAACAAATGGTCTTGAGGGGGGAGGGGGTTCGCTGGGCCAACATCATGTGAGGAATGGGTGAAGAACCAGCCCAGGTACTTGGCTTCTGACTATGTGCCCACTTCTTTATATCTCTTATATGCAATTATCATTATTGTTTTTAGATTTAATGCTTGATTTAGTCCATTGGTTAAGCACAATTTCTCAATTTCGTTCTCAGCTTTTTAGACTCATTTTGATCTTCAACTATGTAATTTGAATTCAACTTAGTCCTCCTCAGACATGTTTCTCTCTAAATAGGGTAATAATTGTCATTTCTATATTTATTGGTTTTGATCTCATTTGTACTCTTCTCTCCGTGTACTAGTTAAAAGGTTAAAACAGCCAAATATCCAGATTACACATACATTGACAGAGATACACACACATACATGCCCATATATTTTTATATACATACATGATACATAAACACATTTAAGTGGCAAGGAATTGACATATTAGAGAAGTTTAGTTGTTGCATTGTTTTTTCACTTCTAAAAGGGATATGGATGATGAATCCGAAGGAAGATGATCAAAAGAAATACCTGGAAGGAAAGTGAATAAGCATGAAATCGAAAGAGAAATTACAACTATTTTTTCCCTGTTCCTTTAGCTGAAAGTGGAGCAAAATGCCCCATCTGCCTTAGCTTACTGTTTGTTCAATTATTTGCAGTTATATTAGAGGATCTTATTTGCAGAGTAGCAAAATGAGTGGCAAATCATATCCTTCCATTTTCCATATTGCTATTCACATTTTATCTGTCTTCTTTTTGTTCAGGCATGGGACTTCATACTGCAGAAATTGATGCTACAGCCAAAGCTTAGACAGTTGTGCTATTTGGGCTTGTAAGAACAATGAAATATGAACTAATTCTTGTGCGTCCATTAGTCTTTTTTGGCTCATTTCTCTGTCTCTTCATTCCTTTTTTGAACCCGGTATGATAACCTCCATGCTGGTATCCCTTCATCTCCCTTTGTTTGTCCATTGCTTTTGTACTGGCTGTGTTGATTTTACTATAGTCTTTCATAAAGTAGGTTCACATTCCTCAATTATTTAAGCCTGTGATCCTTCATGTAGTGTGGCTGTGTGGGTGTACGGTGTACCATGTACGGGTTGAGAACATCCGCTATTGGGGGTTTGGGGGCTCTTTTGGCTTTGTAGATGGGTTTGTATGGTGTTCGCTATTTACTTACTTTTTACTGCATTGTCCTTTTACCCCATCGTAGGTGGGAGCCTTTGCGGCACTGGGGTAAATGATGATGATGGTGGTGGTGGTCCTTTTGAAGTTGTAATATGCTTTCTTATTGCTCAGATAGTTTTGTGCCACCTTGGGATGTGTTCTCTACTTCACAAAAAATACAAAAGATATCAAAACTTTCATAAAATTTTAAGAACCTCCATTTTTTTAACTTCTTCGAAAACTAACCTGAAATTTATTTGCCAGGATGTTTGTGGAAATAATATCCCGTGTGTCATTGTCAGGGCCTAACCACCAATGCTCAAAAAGCAAACTTAGGACATCCATGCCAGCTCCGCCCATCATGTCAGGAGGTAAATGATCGATCTAAAACAAGAGCAGTGTGATGTCCTTTCACAGTGTAGAACACTAGAACCTGGGTGGGAAGCATTGCACGCACTTATGGATGCCTTGGAAACATCTCTACTTTTAACGTTAGAGGTAAAGTCTACAGGCATCTCATCTCCCCACACCCCACTTAACTGGTGTATCACTGGTTGGTTTATTATGTGGAACTGTGGAAAAGATTTCAATTAGTACCACTCCATGGATGATTACTCTTTTTATAACTAAAAAATAAATGTGCATATTTTTTAGTGCATGTATCAAAATGAACTATAGAATGTTCATAATCATTTGATCTTGAATAGTTGAATCAAACGGTTGAAGATTTATTCTCTATGGATGAGTATCTCCCTTTGTGTACCCAGTAAGTATTCGAAACCATACCTATACACACATTGTGTGTAATGCTCCACACATATAGTTTTAACCCATTTTGTGATGGACACCCATTTCCTATCTTACGCAATGCAGGTTACAAGCTCCCTCCTGAATGCGCTCTTCTCCCAATAGCTTCAAGGTTGTGAGTTTAACGTTTCTAAAGGTTTGTGAAAAGAGTGGGCTTATAAGATCGAGTTCAAGGCTGAGGTCATTCATATGAAGGGAGGAAGATCTTAGTTTTTTTTTTATGTATGACAGAAGATAGTTTCAAAATAAAAGCTGTAGCAAGAAACACCCAAATTAGGAGACCCAACTAAAAAAGGAAACATATTGTAGCAAGACTAATAGCCTTAGGATTTAAAAGATGTTCTAAACCAGAATAGGGAAATAACCATAATTATAGAAATGACATTCTTGCTGTCCAATCTAACCAATTTGGGTTCCTCCCTTGTCCCACCTGGGGCTCAGCACTGCATGGCGCTGATAAGACTGTCCACAAAATGAATCACATAAGTTTGTTTGAAAAATATAAAAAATCTTGTAGTTTTTTATTTCATTTCTTCATTACCACCCTTTGTTCCTTTTTGAGGAGTTTATTTCCAACTTGATAAATGCCAAAAAAGAAATGAATTGCTTAAATGTATGATGACTTGATGAGATGAAAATGACTCTTCTCTTGTTTCTTTTCCTATATTCTTTTTCTTTTTTGTTAAAGTAGCTGTATTAAAAGAATTGTGGAAAATTCTTCGTTATGATCAAAGTACTATTTGTAAAATGATTCCCTATATGGAATGGGGAGGTAATACTCCTATATTGGTTCGGGGTGTCTCGTTCCTTCCATTTAATTCAATTGACGAATGAAATGGTTGGAGACAAGTCTCTACAAAGAGTGAAGATGCAAGCAGCAAAGTCTTCTAAGAATTGTGAAATCGATGCAAATAATGCAATGATGCAGCCATGCAGAAATAAGAATACTAATCCTAACTTTAAGTTTTCAGAACCCGCGATAAAAAAAATGAGGAAATTGAGAAATAATTTAGATTTTTCCGGTAAGGTGAAGAAGAATCCAGTGGAAAGAGTGAAGAAATCAAACATAACGGTCAAACACATGAAACAAGGTATCTAAGGGCTGATAAAGCTAGGGATGGACCCGGGCCGGTTCCGGTTCCGGGCCGGGCCCGGGCGGGCTTTTTTTCGGGTTACATGGGCCCGGAACCGGCCCGGGTTGATACCGGGTCCGGGCCTAACCGGGCCGGGCCGGGCCGGGCCCGGTTCAATGTTTTTTTTTTTTTTTTTTTTTTTTTTTTTTTTTTTTTTTTTTACTTTCTTGTTATCTCCCTACCCCCCCCCCCTCACCCCCATGCCCCAAACCTCCCTAAAACACCCAGCCCTACCCTAGGAAAAGAAAAAAAATTGAAAAAACAAAAAAAAATGAACCGGGCCCGGCCCGAACCGCCCGGGCCGGTTCAACAAAAATAGGGCTCGGAACCGGCCCGCCCGACCCGCCAACACGGGCTAAAAGCCCGGAACCGGCCAATCGGGCCCGGTCCGGTCCGGGCCCGCACAGTAGCGGGCCGGTCCGGTTCCGGGCCGGTTCGGCCCGGCCCAGTCCATCCCTAGATAAAGCGCATCGTATCATAGATTTTTCTCTTGTATTTTTGGTGAATCGATGACCAAATACAATTGACTCAAAGTCTCAAACTATGGGTGGACTTGGTTCCGGTCTTGAACCGGCTGGTCATGGTCAGTGATCGGAGAAGCCCGGGTCTGACCTGGTTAAATTTGGGTCTTGGTCGGTTCCGGATAGTCGGATGGTTTGGTCCCGGTTCTGGTTTTGGTCTTGGGACGGATCTGATCCCGTTCTATTTTCTTTTTCATTTTCAAGACTTAAAAAAATGTTCGGTCTGAGACCAGGACCGCAGAGTATTGGCCCCGGTTCTGGACCAGTCTGGGATCGCGGATCGGGGTCACGACTAACTCAATCGGGTAATACGTTTATTTGGTTGGTCACGAAGATGGCACTCACTGGTCAAGATAGACCAAAGTTATCAATCACTTACAAAGCCAACAAACTGAATAACGACACTTAATTACTCTATGTCTCTTATAAGAGAATCTTCAATGTAAAAATGTTAATTATATGTGTCATGAGAGATGGACATATACAAATATAAATTAATTAATGTCATTTTCCTCTCATTTCTTTCCTCGGTGTGTTTATTTTTAGTTCACAATGTCAAATACAATATCAAAATCTAGACGTTGTATTTAAGAAAGAGAAATGAGACTAATCAATCTTATGTGTCTATCTCCCTCATGACATTTATGCATTTTTAACACTTTTATATTGAAGATGCTCTAAACTTTGATTCTCTCATTACATTTGTCACTTACCTCATTAAGTAAAAAAATTGTGATTCTTATAATTTCTCATCGACACAAATTTTAATCATACTGTTTTGCTTTATTGTTCTACGTGTATGTCAATATTGCCAAAGTTATACTCCGTAAGGCTACCCGTAATGAGGTGTGAAAATCCCAAATTTGAAGTTTTCACTCCAAGAATGGGTGCAAGTCAAGCAAAAAGGCAGAGTGAGGTGTTATAGTTGGTTGGGAGAACCAATGGATGAAGAATTAGAAAAAAAGAATGACACTCCCTCCCTCCCTGAGCCCCCGCACCGCTTGGACATTTAGTTGAGAAGATATAAATTGGACTTTAATCACAAGATAGTGAGTGAGGCTCTGGCTCCATGTATTTGCAGAGGTCATATGATTCGAATTCGAGACTTATCATTGTGACATTATCTATCTACCAGTTGATCTATGCCTCGATGTGTCTGGAATTAGGAGGATGGATTGATCAAAGGGAGAATTTGACTTGGCACCCCCACTATTTGGATGATATTGGACTTTGCACTTCATTTAAAAAAAAAACTTTGATTTTGCATCTCATTTCACTTCAAAATCCTTTGACTTTGCACCCCATTTAGAAATTTTCCTTCACAAATGTTACTACATTCGTCCCATTTTATGTGTCTCTTTTGGTTTTGACACAATTTTTAATAAAGTGATTGAAAAAATAAAAGTTGTAGTTGAGATTTAATTGTAGTAAAGTGAAATGTTGTAAACCATATATTTCTTTCCAAAAAGGGAAATATGACACTTATTTTGAGACAACCCAAAAAGGAAGGTAAGACAGGTAAAATGGGATGGAGGGGGTATATGATATGGTGCAAGGTCAAATATTTTTTTTAATGGGGTGCAAAGTCCAATATCACAAAAAAATGGGGTGCAAAATCAAATTGAGAGAGGGAGGAGCTAGCCGCAGGTAAGCAAAATATGAGGGGTCCATATTAAATAAAAACCCCAATTTTATTTATATTGATATGACTGTTTAATTATAATCCAATCTTTATAAAAACATATCAAAATTTATAATTTTATGACCTTTCATATGACATTAATATTGCATAGATAAAGTTTTTAAAAAATTATGAAGTTTCATCTGATGGAGATTTTTAGGCTCGTTTTATTTTTAAATAGATCTAAGTGCTAAAATTAATTTTTCATGGCACAAATATTTTGTTTACACGTATCAGTGATTTTTTTAAAATAAAGTCTGATGAAGAAGCAATAAAAAAATAAACTTTAAATTCAAATTTTTTACATCAGCATGTTTGACTTTTTAAATTATAATTATTCACGGAAAATTATTTGCAAAAAATCAATGTATAATATTAAAAGGAAGAGTTTAGTTAAGAAAAACTTTTCTGAATGAATATATTGACAATGTTTGATTGCATGAATAATTTAATTGACCGATTAAATACGTATAAAATGTTGGAAAATTTAATTTATTGACGGAAAGCATTGCGGTTAACTTAAGAGACATGAGTATAATAAGATTTAAGATTTCATACTCAAAAGTGGGGCGTAAGATCTGTAATTTAAGATGGGTACACTCCAAATTTATCTTTGTTAGATGAAGCTTTTATGTATTCCCGTGTGGACGATTAGATTATCATGGAAATTTATATTTGTACACAATTTTCATACACACAAATTATACGCGCGCACGCGCCTATTTACATATGTATACAGACAAATCATTTGAAAACAACCAGTCATTGTCTGTAATTACTTATGTACACAGACGTACATATGCAATGTACAATTCGTATACAAATTTTTTGTGCAACAAGAATTTTCCAATTATTATAGATCATTTGAATTTCTAAATGGTGTACTATTGTGGACCAAGAATTTCAGCTTAGCTGGTTGTGAGGTTACCGTGCTAGTGGGAGGTCTCGAGTTCGAAACCCACTAGGCACATCAGGGGTTGAAACTCAATGGAGTGAGTTTTAGGCTTAATTACTTCAGGCCCCCTCCCCCAGACCCCCCTGGAGTAAAAAAAATGAACACAAAAAAATTGTGTACTGTTGTGGGGACGTAAACCCAAATTTTGGGGTTAAACCCCATTTCAGTACATGTCCATATACAATATGAGAGATGGACATATAAAATTAAAAAATTGATGATATTTCTCCCTTTTTCACATTCTTATAACTTATTTAATTTAGTAACGTTTTTCTTAACAACGTCAATCATTACGTTCACGTGTAAAGATACTTAACATTCTTTAGGAAAAATCACCAAAAATATAAAAAATTGTTCAAATAAGGACATAAGAAATATTCTATTTATTTGTTTTTTAACATGATCATAATAATTAAAATTTCTAAACAATTAGCTATCCTTATGTATTTTAATTCAGAGAAGCTTCGGTGAAGTCTACCTACTCTTGTATTTTTCTTTTCAATAAATAGGCGAGGTGTTTCTTAACCCTCATCCCATTTATCTTCGAGTAACGATTTATCACCAGGTTGAAAAAAATAAAAATTCTAAAGAAATTGCCCTAATTCAAAAAGCTGTTATATTTTTACTCTTTAAAAATAAGTAACTATTTTCTTTTTCCAAAAGCTGTTATCGAAAAATGCCAAAAATTTCTATTTTAATTCAGGATTTCCAAAGTTTCCATCATAATAACTATGAGCCAGTTTGGGAATACTCGAATCAGCTGTGTTGGTTGATTCTGCTAAAATTTATGAAGTTCTTGTTGAAGTGGCTGAATTGGCAAATTATGTTGATTTATGAAAAATTATACGAAGTATTTAAAATATATTTTAGTAATAAAATAAAGAAAAAATAATATGAAAAACAACTAAAATGATCTTCTACGGTAAATTCAGTCAATACGGTCAGCAAAGAAAATCCAACCTTATTTTTTATTATTATTACGGTCAGAAAAGAAAGTAATGTATTTGATGAAAAGTGACGGTAAGCATACTAAGCCGGAAAAAAACTTTACCAAATGGAATATATGTATAAAAAATAGCATTCTTTAAACAATAAGATCTAATCTTGTTGTTGCCGTGTTGTTAATGTAAGGGAAAAGGGGCAAATCCCCCCCTTAATGTTATACTTAAAGGGTATATAAGCCCCTAAACAAAAATTTGGAGCAAAAAACTCCCGTTTCCTTTACAAAAGGGCATATCCCCCTTCACTAAGAGCATCTCCAATGCTATAATGTCCACGGTGCACATGTGGCATGAGTGATAGCCACATAATTATTAGCAAATAAATTATTTCTCTCCTTATTTGATTGATTTTATACAATTTTGGTAAG